AATCGTAAATGGATGAACTTATTTTCTCGACTCGGCAGTTAAATTAATTTTAATCCAACACTGGTAACAACATTCATTTCAATTTTAAGTTTTCGAGTATAATGTTCGTCTCTGTTACCACGTTTCTTTTTATTTAGCGTTTATTAATCATTTGTTGACACATGTTCTATCTTCCACAGTCGCATTCTAAAAAAAATTCAAATGGTGTAATCCTAGGTTATAGAGTACGTGTTAAATTGTTTGTTTTAGATGGTCATGGATAGTTATCACACTCTTACAATTTGTTTGTTGTGGTCACAGGTCACGGGGACAAGTTAGTAAACATAACAACTTCTGTTAATATGCTTCCAGAAAACCATTTCGGTTTCGTTTCAACTTGATTTAAGAAGACTCCGTGTTCTAAATTGAAACTCTTTTTTGTAAACAATTATTATCAGCTGGTTGGATAGAGCAATATTAATTCAACTCTATTTTTATTTGAAATTTTCAAAATCGGACATTTACGACACTCTCTTATAAAGAGAACTTAGAAGCAAGATTGTCCAAGCTCTTCGAACTAGACAAGAAGTTAATTATTCTTTGTTTAACATCGATTTTAGTTCGTTTTGGGTATTTTTTATACAGTGTGTCCAAGATAAGGATGCACAGCATGGGGATCTCGGAAACTATAAGAGATACAGTGTCGGTTAAATTAGACAAAAGTTGCGCATTTTAATACCGAACAAGATCCCGTTTTACAAATTTGAAAATTCCAAGCCGTTCCGGAAATATCCGAGAAAAACCGAAATATTGCGATTTCGTTTTTATTATTTTTTAAAGCTATTTGAAAAGATATGAAAAAACGGAAAACACTTTTCCATTGGCACTTTTTAATCTCTCCAAATTGACGTTAACAAATTTTCATTACAGCGTTTCGATTCCATGGAACCACCATCAACTTTGATTTTTCTTATGGGACGGAAAAAAAGTACACACAGTATTAGGTTGTGCTTTTCATTGCGAATTCAACGATGTACGATACAATACGGTTACTTATGTTTTTATCCAGAAAAATGGCTTTTTAATACATTTCTAGTATTTTATTGTAGTAGGCCATGAGATCCGAACGATGAAAGGCAAAAGAAAATGGTTGACAAGTTCGAGTTAATGTGTTTATTTATTTACTAACTCTAACTGTTCATTTAACATAACAACTAAATCCAACAAGTTAATGAAAAACAAATTCTATAACAAATGTTCGAATAAATGACCTCCATTTTCTAGGCATAAGTACGCCCGTCTCACGGTAGACTCCAAAACACGACTTAACATTTCAGGAGTAATTTTATTAAACGCTGCTCGTACTGATTGACGTAATTGTTCCTCGTTGTCAAAACATTCTTTGAATACCTCATTTTTTATGTAGCCCCATAAGAAAAAGTCCAAGGGAGTTAAGTCCGGGGACCTTGGAGGCCGAGGTGTTTCACTGTAAGTCCCAATGTATTTTCCATCAAACCGTTCAGTTAAATATTGGCGAACTTCTCTGGAGTTATGGGCTGGGGCACCATCTTGTTGGAACTAGCAGCCTTGCACAGCGCCTAGCGGTAAATCATCTAAGGCATCTTCTAAATCGTGCCTCAAGATGTCAAGGTACCGCTCGGAAATTAAGGAATTATTATAGAAAATAGGGCCTATAATCTTGCTACCAAAAATCCCACACCAAATATTAAACCCAAAGCGAACTTGATGTCTGGATAGTCTATTAACACGTGGATTTTGTTGCGACCAATAGTGTGTATTGCGCCTGTTATAAATACCGTTATTGGTCACCATACTTTCATCAGACCAAATCACTTTATATGGAAAATTAAAACTCTCATCACACATCCTGGTATACCACTCACAAAAATGTCTACGTCGTTCGTCGTCACCCGGTTTTAATCCTTGACATATTCTGAATTTGTAAGGCTTAAATTCATTTTTCCTTAAAATAAACTGAGCTGTAGATTTAGCTACCCCATTCTGGTCTTCAATTTCTCTGGTAGAAGTTTGTGGATTTTCGATAACAGATTGTAGAACAATGTATTGGTTTTCTTCATTGGAAGGTTTTTGTCGGGATAATGCAGGCTTCTTAAATGATCCATATTCTTTCAGATTAAATAACAAACGCCGAAAAATACTCTTGTCAGGTTGTCTCCGCTCTGGGCATTTGTTAGAATACATACGCTCGGCTTCCACACAATTTCTTTGGCATCAGATGTAGCAAGACAGCATATCACATTTTTCTTCGTTTGTAAAATTACCTCCCTCCGTTGTAGAACAAAATAAATTAGAAAAAGACAACAACAATAAAAATACAAAAACAATAACTAAAGGAATAAACTTATGATCGACTGATAACAAAGACAAATAACATTAATGTGTCATTGAAATTGACTGGATGTCATTTTGTCATGGCCTACTCCATTTAAATGCTGAAATGTATTAAAAATCCATTTTTCTGGATAAAAACATAAGTAACCGTATTGTATCGTACATCGTTGAATTCGCAATGAAAAGCACAACCTAATACTGTGTGTACTATTTTTCCGTCCCATAAGAAAAATCAAAGTTGATGGTGGTTCCATGGAATCGAAACGCTGTAATGAAAATTTGTTAACGTCAATTTGGAGAGATTAAAAAGTGCCAATGGAAAAGTGTTTTCCGTTTTTTCATATCTTTTCAAATAGCTTTAAAAAATAATAAAAACGAAATCGCAATATTTCGGTTTTTCTCGGATATTTCCGGAACGGCTTGGAATTTTCAAATTTGTAAAACGGGATCTTGTTCGGTATCAAAATGCGCAACTTTTGTCTAATTTAACCGACACTGTATCTCTTATAGTTTCCGAGATCCCCATGCTGTGCATCCTTATCTTGGACACACTGTATACGAGAAACAAAAATGGAAAACTTCCATAGCAAGCGGGCCGTATCGCCGCGAAACACAAAGAGATATGCCTTCAGAAATCTACGATACACATCCTTTCAGCGTTTTACTTTAAAGCAGGAAATCCCTCGGGAGTTAAGTGCTAACAGGCTGCCCGGGCAAAGCGAAGAAATAGGCATCCATCGGGTACTTAAGAACAGCAAGCCGCGCAAAATCCCTGCGGGAACAAGTGATGAATAGGGCTCAATATTCTGTTGTTATTTGTGTATCGCTCTCGTCTACCCTTAATGGAATGGCCTATTTTTTGTTCCACTAAAATATATCTCGAAATAAACAACTTTATGTTCGCGTTGATTTTTTTTCTCCAGGAAGACGTTATTCCCTGATGGTGCTTTTCGTTTGTATTTATTGTGTTACTGGGACGGACATTTAAATAGGACTCAAGTTGTCGAAACTATAGTGGTATAGGCTAAAACTATAAAGTTACTTTTAGATTTTATTATTTTCTTGATGTATTTTTAGCAAATAATTTCCAAATATCAATAAATGGTAGTAACGGGTGATTCAATAAGAGTTTCCACATTACAATCTGAAATATTTTTGAAACGCCACTGTATTTGTTTATTATCATATGAGATTTGTAACCTCAAAACATAAAGAAAGTTAGTCATGGAGCAATATGCGACTGAACGACGTGTCAAAATAGTGCAAGCCTATTATGAAAATGGTCGATCGTCATCGATCGCAGCAAGTGGGCCTTGCGTATTCAACCACACAGCGAATTTTAACAAAAGACTTGCATCTACACCCATATAAAGTCCAAATAACTCAGGAGTTGAAACCTCGAGATCATCAACAGCGCCGCGTGTTTGCAGAATGGATACGAGAACAAGGGGTTCATTTTTCAACGAAAATCATCTTTGAGGCATATTTTCACGTTGGTGGCTTTGTAAACAAACACAATGCTCATATTTGGGGATTAGAAAATCCAAGAGAGATTGTTCAAAAAGCAATGAATCCTCAAAAAGTATCTAAAAAACAGAGTGTATAGAAATAAACCAAACACTATTCCAGAGCTGAAACAGGAAATTAGACGCGAAATAGGCGGCATAGAACCTGAATTGTGTCAAAAAGTGAGAGGAAATTTCAATAAACGAATTACGTCATGCGACATGAGTCGCGGGGGTCATTTGAATGACATCATCTTTCATATCTAATTGTAATACACTAAAAAAAAATATTATATTATATTCTTCCGAGTTTTTTTAATTATTTTAATTTGGAAACCCTTATTGAACCACCCTTTAGATGTAGTGATGACTTTGGTGTAAAATATTACAAATTGATACTTCTTGTACTAAAAAACTGCAAAGAAGACGTCCAGTGGTTCAACAGAAGACTAAAATTAGAGTTAACAACCATTTAAAAAGCAAGATAACTTTTCATTATTAAATTTTACTTACAGGCTAATAGAATGAATTGTAATTTGCTAAATATGCCAAAGTGCAAAGTGAAAAAATTCTTTAATACAGGTCGTCAATTATATTATATTTATCATAGTAATGGTAACCCGCTCGACATTGTGGATCATTTGAGAGATTTGGGAATTTTGCTGAGCTTCCATTGGGATTTTTCGTTCCAAATCGATTCTGTAATTAGCACAGCACTCGGGATGGTTGGATTTTTAAAATTTAAGAGTCCATTGGAAAATTTACTGCGTAATTTTGAAGACGCTTATCACATCAACTATTTCCTGTAAAAGAAAGCATAAAAAGCTCAAACGCATCCACAAAATCATCAACTGTACCTTACCTTACCTGACTCCTGTAATAGCGTTCTAGGTCCTATCCCGCAATATTCATAACACTTAACCTTTCCGTCAGCAAGTCGAATGAACTACTTTGTACTCTGTAAGAGCTGCCGCTGCGTAGTTTTAAGTTTCAATAGTTTTTTTACTACTACATTGTAATTATTAAGTGTTTGGCCAGCGAGAACGTAAATAAATAATATTGCAAAATTCGTATCCTATCTTTACATGTAAGTGAGACATTAAAAAATTATTTCAGACTGTCATTGTCACTGCTGTTCATCTTTGTCACTTTCACTAACCGCGAAATTAAAAGTTACATTTCTCGACGATATAATGGCGAATTATTTCCTAAACGAAACTAACCCAGAGATATTTGCGGCTATTCCCAGACCCGGAGGACTGGCAAACATTAAAATCCCTGTGAAATCGAAACCACCTTTAGCAGACTCCAGCAGACGACATAGTCTTATCACAGTGCAACTGCAAGATACGCTAAGGACTGATAAAGAAAATTACGCCAGACACCACAAAGTAAGTACAGTTTGTTTCATAAATTGTGATTTTCCGTCCCCAAAATTTGGATTAACATTAAGAAACGTTGTTTAGTACCATATTTCAGTCTAAGTTATTCTAGGTTCAGTTTAAAATTACTTAAAAAGATAACAATTAATATAATATAAAAAGACACGAAGTATACACACACACACATTTAAGCTGCTCATATCAATTATTAATTATTAGTTTTACTATTAACAAACGTTTTGGATTCTTCCTGCGCCTACTGGGAGTCTGAAGTGCAGAGCTTTTCTCAAACTGATTTGGGTTCTCCTCTATACCTGCTTATATACTGTTTGAAGGGAGCGGACCTACAGGAGTGGATATGAATATTGTATCGAATGACTGAGTCCCATTTCAGTGAAAGGTATGTGGCTGAGGCTAGTGGACAGTGGACCAGTTCGTTACTTACCATAATTCAAAAAATATACCCCAGTAATGAGATGCACTAAAATTCGTTTTATTTATTCCGGAATCTAAAAAAAATGTTCCAGATATTCAATTAGACAGTTGAAGACCCGCTTAGGAGGGCTTCAAAATGATGTTAAAACGTGGGAGCTTTGCCTTTTAACGCAATGAACTTTAATCAACACGGCAGTATATTGTGTTATTGATTTTTTGTGTCCATTATCGCAAACAACGGAATGGTCCCGTTTTTATTGAATATGCTGTATGCAGGCATAAAAATTGCAAAAAGTTCAGGTTTAACTATTTTGGCAATGCCACTTATGTCACGAGAATATTTCATAAATTAGATTTGGATAAACTAGAGCAAAATCATAACAGTGACAATCAATTTGCTGATAGTTTCAAATAAGAAGAAAGACGTTTAATAAAAGATACACTTCTTAAGTCTCTACCAAATCGAGTTCGTAGCATTGACATCAAAAATGCTGATAATGTGCTTTGCAAGAAGGTAATATGCACATTATAAAGTGCTTAGCCGCTTATCAAAAGCTTCGTTCTGAAGCAAAATCTGATTTCGACTTAAGTGCAATTCTTATTTAGATTTGGTTTTGAGCTGAAGACGATTCTTTGCGAAACTACATTCAAAGCCCGTCTGGCGAAACCGAATGTTATTTATTTAGTAAGCAGCAAGTGGAATTATCGGCTTCAATGAAAAATTGGGTCGGATATTTTAATGCATGTCTGTCTGTGTATTACTACGAATTTTTTATAAACTTCGAGGATCGCATAATTCCAATCACAGAATCCACATAATCACTGTACAATTGCCCGTTTTTTATGAAACACAAATATTAAGTTACTGTTAAAAACAGAAAACCTTGGCGTCGGTTCTGTTGTATTATTACCGACATGGCAATAATATCAGAAATCTGTCTTGAATACAATGACTTTACACTTTATCAATATTTAGTGATCGTATAAAAATATTTAAGCAATCAATCATGCGATATATCTAGATTTGTCATAATCAGAAATTGTTTGCGCGTATTTCATCAATAAAATTAGTAATTGTCTTTCTAAAGTAAAAGCGACACAAACTAATCGTCGAAAAACTATTATAATAATTTTAGCTCATTTCATTATTGAGGGAATTTTTATGTCTTCCTACGGTTTTAAGGTGGTTGGTTGGTTGGTTTTGGTTCTTTAATGGTCTAATTCAATATCTGGAACAATGTCAGATTTTTTTGAGATTGAGAAATAATTGTAATGAGTTTTAGGGAGTTTTATGATTGGAAGTACTTTTATATCTTCTCGACGGTTTTAAGGTGGTTGAGCAATACATCAATTTGAAGCTCTTCAGTGGTCTAACTCAATATCTGCTACAAGGTCCAATTTTTTTGAAATTGCCAAAGGTAGTTCAGCAATACATTACATACAATATAATAATACACACAATACATTTTAAAGCTCTCCCAAGTGACTCTTCAATGGTCTAATTCAATATCTGCGACAAGTCTAATTCTAATTGTATCTTCCCTAGGGTTTTAAGGTATTTGAGCAATACATCATTTTGAAGCTCTCCTAAGTGGCTCTTCAATTGTCTAATTTAATATCTGTGACATCAGATTTTTTCAAGGTTGAGAAATAGTAATTAAATTAATTAATTTTTTGGGTTGATGTATAAAATGCATTGTATATATAATGCATTGTATGATGTATAAAATGCATTGGATATGGTTTTTGGGAGTTTCCTGCTAATACTTTCCTGCTTCCTTACCCGCAGGAATATATATTTTTTAATTGCGGTAAGTAACGAACTGGTTCATTGTAAGATTTGCAAATCTGAATACAAATCCAAATCTAACTTGTGATAGGTAAGGACCTGAGTCGCGGTTGAGATTGTTTGGTTGCTTATAGATTTCTATAGGTTCCCGGATATTTCTTTGGTAGGTCGCCAACTGTTGATGAGTTTAGTTGTTGTAGCCTTAAAGCTATTTCACGTTCTTCGAGCCTAGTTGATATTTTTCGCTCGGTCTCTCCAATGTATATAATACTGTAAGCCCCTGGTATCTCAAACGGAATTTTCTTTGGATTCTCATATTTTTCTTTGGTAGTCTAATCAATTACTCAGAACATTTTTTGGTTTGGTCGAACAAGATTCGATGTCCGGTTTCAGGATTATGTTCAGCAGGTCTAGAGTAGAATGTAAATCACATTTAGTTAAAATCTTAATAAGGCAAACAATGTAGAAGAAATCTTGAAAATTTGTATATAGTATTGTGGTAGCCTGTGGAAGTTTCTTTGAAAAATTATATTAACTTCATGTATTAAGCATTACTAGCAATACTAAGTATTTTGACTACCCATTTTACATTGCAATTGACACATTAATCGAAAAAAAAACAGATTTACAGTCATAACTTGAACCTCTCTAAGAACATTACATTCAGCTTATGACGAAATGTGCTGCTCAAACTGAATAATATAAGGTATTTTTAAAGAAAATATATGTAATTTTAATGTTAGATAGATAAGATACGGTAGATATGGCAGCGGAGTTTTTGTAACCAGTGAATTTCATTATAATCGAGAAGAATTTTTTCTGTAACACCTTTTACTAAAACGCTCTCACCCCCGTCAATTTGGTTCTGGCGACCGATCAAATTGACTAGAGAGAAGTAAAATCTGAAAAGAGTAACCATTTCGTTTCGTAGATTCAACAGTCTCTGGCTTCGGTTCCTTGGTCGATAGAACTAGGCGACTTGGCAGAAGACCGGGAGAAAACGAATTGGTTGGCCGATACGTTTCAAGATTCGGTCGACTTGCTGAGCATTTTAATGAGCACCGTTATGCTTCTGTCTAAGCGACACGAAAAAATACCGGAGAATTTTTATCGCTGGTCCTTGGCTTACCTCAAATGCGTAAAAGACGATTTCGGCCGCGCTCCCCCAAACGTCCAGGGAATCATCAATCATATAAATTACATTACCGGAGGGAAAGTTACCAGCATATTGGAGGACGAACCTCTTGTTCCCGGGAAAAAATTTAGAATTTCGGAATTACAACCGGAAGTGTTCGGTTAGGAAGAGCAGGCGAGGAATTTGGGATTCATTTTTTGCAAAAATATCCATCAGCACTTCTCGATATGATATGCTCCATCAATGGCTGCCGGAAGGTCGGAGTTATGCAATTGCTAAACATTCTCGTCGTTTATAAAAAATATTCAAGACGTATTTTTACGTTCTGATGTTCCTTTTTTAATAAATTGCAAGGAAATATGTCTTTTAAAACATTCTTTTCAAATAAAATCTGAAGGACAATTTCACAAACCTTTTGGCATTCCTATACTTTAACTGTAGATGCTAAGTGAGTTTGCCTGTAAACCCAATGTTCACAGAATTTTACGAGAAAATTAACAAAAAAAATATTTTTCTTTTTTTTTGGCTCTAACTGTTTAAATATTTATATAATTTTTAATCACAAATATAACCAAAAAATATGCGCTAGTTTTTGATCACACTGATCAAATCTTACAGAAATCTTCTCTTCAAAATGCGAGACAAAATTGTGTCTTCATCCACTTTGAATTCAAGTGCACCGGACGAACCGTAATTATAACCGTACCTTTTACAAAAACGTTTTATTAGTGAAAATTACATAAAATACTTCGTAATCGAGCTGAAGCTTTTACATTTGCAGAGAAGTCCTCACTACAGCCTCCCGGATATCAATACTAACAATTATTTTACAATTTTAATACCGGATTCAACATTTTAATGCGGAGCACGTTATCGGTAGTCACCCACGGTCGGCAGCCATGACACACTTATTTCGTGATGATGTTGAGAAACTGATTGTAATGTCTTTGAAAAATACTTATTCTCTTTTGCATTTCTCAGAGGACTGACGTAAAAAAAGTTATGGTCCAGCAAGATTCTTTAGGTAAAAATCCTTCAATTAAGATTTGCAAATTGATAAACAAAATTTTGGCTTTGTGAACCAGAAAAATGTAAGCAATATTTAGTATCAGTATCTGAGAGAATGCATGAATTTTGCAATTTTAGTCGAAAAATGGTATCGCCTTTATTATCAATTGATATCCTATGGTCGGGTTTATTAATCAAAAATTTCATTGACTCCAAGAACGCGGCTGACGAGCGAGTGAGATCGCTAATCGCAAATTATTATTCTATAGTCTTACCCTAAACCGGAATAAATTGACAACATCCGATTGGATGCAAACGCCGGAAAAATACCAACGCGACCTCCCCCCCTTTATACAATAATTACAGTAATTAATATCGAAGCGCACAGAGCGTATCGGCGGATCCACCGATTGTTCTCGATTTTTATGCTTCGGAAGCCGACCAATTGATTTAGTAAAATTTGCATGCCGTGAATGAGCTCAATTCGAAATTTATATTTTAGTTCCGCGTTTTATTACTGTTTTGAAAAATTAACGACGCATTGCTGTGACGCTGAAATTAGCGCATCGAGAGAGAGACATGTTAATAAAATTTCGTCGCGATATATACCGGATGTAATGGGTTTTATTAGACAATAAAGTTTTGTAAAATTTATTTGTTTGTAAAGGTTGTAAAGGTCCTTTACTTTCTTACTACGCCACTTCTCTGTCTTCGAGGAAGTCCGGTATAGTCTGTCTCAATCTTCATAGATCTGGCTTTTTGTCCACAATTATGGAAGTTATCTGTCGACGCCATCAAAACAGGTAGAACATAATTTATTTTTTGTTAATTTAGGTGGGTACAGTCTTATTAAATTACACTAAGAAAAAACAAGGGCATTAAATAAATTCAATAAATTCATAACTAGAAATATCTATGCATAATTACATTTTTATTCTAAATGTCTAAATTTAATTCTGTCTCACTATCAGAGTCGTTACTGATATTATTTATAATATTGCTATATCGAATTTTTCCAGCTCTCAATTGGTATGTTATTAATTACATTTTGCAACACTGACCTTTGATTTTAGTTGCTTCCACAAATGCTCTATGGGGTTAAAGATGCAATGATATGGGGGAAGACGGAAAACAGTATACTCAACCTTCTTTTTAGTTGCAAATGAGTTTAAGACTTCCAAAAGTTGCGCTTTTTTGTAGCTGAATTCAAAATAAATGTCATTTAATAACAAATATTTCTGGATTTCAGTTTTTGAACTTTGGGAATATTTTTAAAAATATTGTTTTGAAATCAATTTTCAAAAATTTCGGCACTTGTATCCTCATGATAATCCAAGCTAGAATCCTTAATAATCTTTGCAGAAAACTGCAATCAGTTTGGGACAAATCCATCTTCTGACCAAGCGTGTATTACGGTGATACTTCCTTTATTTGAAGGTGCTTTCGTCTAACTGTTTTGAGTGGAATCAACCCATCCTTTGGATACAGTGTCGTGTGTATCGAACCATGTTTTATCGAGGTAAATTATGGATCTGTTGTCAAATCTAATATTTTAAGTTCATGAAGGTAAATCTCCATCTCTATTACTACTGACCTTTTGTGTACTTTGCGGTAGTTAAATCTCATTTTACAATCAACTTTATGTAGGGTGGCACGATTTATTATATTAGTTTCATTTCCCTGTAGCTTCTTTTTCAAGGTAACTTCGCTTTGATAAAGACAATATATTTTCCTTCTCATTGGGTTTTAATAACTATGGTCTATACGGTGGCTTTGAAAAACACCACTTTTATTCTTTTTCTTCAATTCTCCACTATTAATAATATCCTTTCGATAAGGACGTTTTGGTTAGTTGAGATCAAGTGGTGCTCATCGTCGGTCTGTCCGGTAACAGGGATTAATTTGGTTCTCTTCTTAGACCTCTTTTTGGCCATATACGCGTGTAGTTTGATCTACAGTGCAATATCTAACAGACTGTTTTGGTACAAAGAACCCTATCCACATTAATATTATTAACTTTCTCATTGCTAGTAGCCGTCTTTGAAGTCCACATCAACATCGCTGAGTTCTCTGCCTGGAATATATTGAGATTGGGGCACAGAAAACAATAATTATAATTATACGGAAAACAAACATCGACGTTATTCGCTCCGTGTATGATGCCTAGTAGCGCCGCCCACGGAAAAGAAGGAATTACAGCACTCCAATTTTATCATTGTCTTTACGTGTTAATTTATAAATAAAACAATTAACAATAAATTTTGAGATGGATAAGTAGTATAAAGTGATTTAAACGAAAGGTACGTGAAAATTATATATTAACAATATTTTTTTCTGTAATTAAAACGTGTAACAAACAAATAATAATAGTTTTTTTATTGACAGCATAACCTGAAAATATGGCATCGGTAATATTGCAGACCGGGTATGAAAATATCTCCCATTCAATTAATTTGCAGGTACGCTAGAAAAAGGAAAGAAATTGGCTTTTTGTCATATTAAACACATTGAAGAATACGTTGGTGGCAATATTAACAATAAGTTAATTGCTACATGCATTCGGCAAACGTCCGTCACTGAAACACCATATAATTTACAGATTACAGAAAAAAAATTGTCAAACTTTAAAAGTGGCTTTTTTACTTGATTCTTTATTTTTTTTAGCTGAATAGTAAAAGGGAGGTGGTACATGCTCAATGTACTTGCATTGCCAAAGAAACTGGCGAATGCAAACATATTGCGGCATTTATCCACCAAATAAACAATGACCGGAGTGTGTCTAAAACGAGTGTTCAGCAAGAGTGGGGATTTCCATCAATTAATCATTTAGCAAAAGAAAAATATTCTCGAGGAGCTACGGTAAATGATCTTTTTCCTCAAAAAGTGCTTAAAAATCCTCCTCAGCCACTGCACTTGACTTTGGAAGACTTTGACGATATCGAATGCCCAATTAAAAAAAGGGTAAAAGTCGATCATATTAGTGAGGAAGAACAAGTCTGTACGGTGGTCATAAATTTATGTCTCGAAGAACGACAGGTAGAACTAATATCAGAGTGAACGAAAAAGGTGATTGCTTGTCTTTTAAAGAGTGCTGGTCAGTGTATCACCATAGGAAAAGACAAGTTGGCTCTGTCATCTGAGATAGCACAGTTTTACAGAGACCGGATACTATTAGACAGTGAAGAAGTTTTCACATTGTGTTTACAAACCACACAACAAAGCGAGACGGTAAAATGGTTTGAAGCAAGACGTGTACGCATAACGGCCAGCGCAAAAGCTCATAAGATAAAAACAATAACTCGCACTTCAGCTGAATCTTTACTACAGGATTTTCTGCATCCGAAAAGTTTAAATTATGGAATTCAAAATGAGGTAAAAGCTCGCAAAAATTACAAATTACTGCATGATGTTCACGTATTTCAAATTGGATTATTTGTGTCTCCCAAACAGGCCTGGTTAGGAGTCTCAGTAGATGGAATAGTAGTCAGTGACGGCATGGTAACTAAAATAGTCGAAATAAAATGTCCAATGTCATGCAAATCGAAACCAATATGGGATAAAGAAACGAAAAAATTTAATGTCGGCTATATTGAAACTGTAGCTACGGGAAAAGTCCAATTAAAATAGAACCATAGTTATTATGTTATATATTATATTATTTACGAAGGTTGAATTCATTTCTTCATGAAAATCAATCTGTACAGCAACATCTTTAAACCGCGGTTGCAGTGAGTCAATAATAACTCCATATCCATATGATCATTCAGGTTATCGGTATCCTTATTGTCGTTGAGGTCATCGTTATGTGTTCTTATATAAACAAGCTTAGTGTTGTCCATTTCGGAACCATTTGAATTTTGACTTCTCCGCATTGCTCTCGCGAATCTATAATCGAGAAATCCTATACTTTTTAGTAAAATGAACATCTACGATTTAATTAATTTTTCATAACATCCTCTGTACAAACGTGGGTCTTTTACGTCCAGCCGTTTTGTGTCTACTGATCTCGGTCCAAAAATTATGTACAAAATTACTATTAACGTTACTAATTGTCAATCGGATATATCGATTATAATTTTACGAAACCAATAGAGAAACTTCTTGAAATGTACGTGGTTTACTCAATAAATATTACATTAAGGACAAACAACCAACTAAACGGCAAATGTAAAGCAAAAAATATAGTTTTTCGTTGAAAAAAAATTTTGCGATTTTTTTTCTTTTTTTAATGTTAATTACATGGCCGGGGCAAAACATACCCACGTTTATAAATCAAGGTTTAATAAATAGAAAAATAACCGCTTTGTGCTTGTACTTGCTCTGATTTATTTATTTTTG